CTTATTGTAGATGTGTCAACAAAAATGTTAGCATGTGCCAGAGATTTCTGTAGGTCTTTAGCTGACACTCTGGGATTCTTCTTTATCTCATGCAGCATTCTGCGCTGTGCTCTTGCAGTCATTTTTACAGGACGACCACGCCTAGGGAGAGTAGCAACAGTGCTAAACTTTCTCCATTTGTAGACAGTCTGTCTTACCGTGGACACATGAACATCAAGGCTTTTGGAGATACTTTTGTAACCCTTTCCAGCTTCATGCAAGTCAACAATTCTTGATCGTAGATCTTCTGAGAGCTCTTTTCTGCGAGGCATGGTTCACACCAGACAGTGCTTCTTGAAACCAGTAAACCCAAAACAGGTGTGTGTTTTTTTAAGGGCAGGACAGCTGTCAGCAACACATCCAATGTTATTACACTGATTGGAGTCAAGGTTGGCTCACTCTTGGCTCCAATTAGCTCTGGGAGAAGTCATTAAGCTAGGGCCTCACATACTTTTTCCTCCCTGCACTGTGAATGTTTACATGTTATGTGCAATTAAACCATGGCAACATCTAATGTTTGTGTAGTATTATGTTCAGCAGACTGTGTTCTTCTATTGCTGTGACTTAGATGACAATCAGAGCACATTTTATGCCCAATTCATGCAAAACTCCACGTAATCCCAAGGGGTTCACATACTTTTTCTTGCAGCTGTAGGTCATCAGTTTAGTGTTACAGGGAAGGTCTTGTGTTAGAATTATTTCTGTCATTCCAGCATGTATGGTGATATGTAACATGTGTACCGCAATCAATGTATTTATGTCTAGGCACCCTGAAACGTGCGTTTAGGTTCGTATGTGCGTATAGCCTCAACATGTTTTTTTTTTGGGGGGGGGTATTGTTCTTGAGTGTAAAATAATTAGTCTAAAAGACCCTGCATGTCTACTCTGGTCTCCACTTGATGTATTTCAATGCAGATTGCATTGCAATACATCTCTCCCCAGCTATTCTAGCCAGGGAAAGTGACAGCTGTCACCATACACGTCATACATGTTGCCTTCTGGGTCACAGAAAGAAGAGGAGGAGAGCGGACGTTTGTCCGCTCTCCTCTCTCAGCTCCACTTGCCCAGCACCCACCATGGAGCTCCCGGGCAAGTGGAGCTTGGATACATGGAGGGAGCATGGGGGGGGGCATCACCGGTACTGGGGGTTGTGGAAGCAATCGGCTGGCAGCGTAACAGGAGTATGTCTGTCAGTTTTAGACACAATCCCAGTGACTGCAGTCACCAGATTATGTACAAAACCCTCCTCTGTCAGGTCCGTACATGTGCGGACCTGGTGGTGAAAGGGTTAAAAAGTTAATTTCCTAATTAACTTAACCCAGTAACAATCACTCTCAGGCTGCTGGCATCTAGGATGTGGTCCCTTTGAGCAGGGTGCAGCTGAGAGGGGCATTGCTACGTAAGTGACAGCGCGGTGTGAGATTGGCTGGTCCTTTGTCACGAGTTGGTGAGAACTGCAGGGGTAGGGCACCATATTTGTCACAAAGTCCACTTTTTAACTTGTACCTACAGGTAAGCCTATAATAAGGCTTACCTGTAGGTTCAAATGCACTGCACTGTTTAGGAGAAACTCACACAATATGCAGCCTGTCATCTTACTGGCACTCTGAAGGGATGGCATACCTGTGCCATATCATCAGAGCTCCGTGCTGGGATAGGGGAGTGACGTCATCGTGGTCCCGGGCATTCATACAGCCAGAGTCTGCAAACCCAGAAGGAAGATGATGCACCTGGAAGCCATGATAGCACTGTGCTGAAGGGTTTCGTTTCCAGATAAGTCTGTCATAATGTGCTAGTATTCGGTTGTTGAACTTCAGTTGTTTCACTGTAGCTGCTGACTTTTAAAAATCAGGTACTTACCAGTGCCTGGAGTCCAGCACTATCTTCCCGCAGCTGTTACTTCTTACTTCCCGGCTGCGGGTCCCCGGTGCTGCCATATTGGATATCAAAGTTGGCTGTAGCTTCCTGAGAAACCACAGCCGGCTTCCCACTGCACAAGTTCAGGCTTGCACGATGCTCTGTGAACAGTTCTGCAACCTCCTGGGACATGTGAGATGTCCCAGGAGGCTGCAGGGGGAGGGGGCGGGCAAGCAGCAGCATCCTCACCTAGGCTAGGATTGCGGAAGTGGGAGCGGTCAATGATAAAATTTGGTAGTTGCTCCCCCTTTCCCCTACAAAACACTGCAACTCAGTTACAGGCTGGGGGGAGTAAGCAAACTAGTGGTACTTCACTTCTTTAGCCAATAAAGGGTATAAGATTCCAAACTTTCTACAGAAAAGTTGAGTGAAACCCTTAAGCCCTTAAGCCGCCCCAATGTAGTGAAATCAAAAGTTGGGCCAGTGTGTAATGGAATCCTGATACTTTTTGCTAGGAACAGGACTGTTTCTTCCCAGAAGCAAAATAGAACCTTATCTCAGAATGGATAGCCTACTGGTAAGGAAACTGGAGAAACAGATGAAAGATGTCGCCACCATTGCCGTATTTTCCTTAAATCCACTTTCATGAAAAAAATGAAGCAGAAAATACTATAGCATACACATATGATACATAAGCGATTATGTAATTTAATGTTATTAAAAATTAAATTTCCTTTTCAATCTGCAGCCACTGTAATTTTTTGTAAAACTCAATGCCATATAGCAATATAGAGGCATTCTGTACAGAATTCCCCAGAAAATTTAATTTGCTGCTTATGTGATTGACTCAATGACTGTCCCAGCAGTCTGCATTGAGATTCCACTCACATTTTGTTCCACCTCACCCCCCCACCCCACGCGCCATTGCTAAAAGGTTTGCTGTGTCTCCCAGCACAGTCTCAGCAACATGGAGGAGATTCCAGGAGACAGGCAGTTACTCTAGGAGAGCTGGACAAGACCGTAGAAGGTCCTTAACCCATCAGCAGGACTGGTAACTGCTCCTTTGTACAAGGAGGAACAGGATGAGCACTGCCAGAACCCTTCAAAATTACCTCAAGCAGGCCACTGGTATGAATGTCTCTGACCAATCAGAAACAAACTTCATAAGGGTGGCCTGAGGGCCTGACATCCTCTATTGGACCCTGTGCTCACTGCCCAGCACCATAGAGCTTGATTGGCATTTGCCATTGAACACCAGAATTGGCAGGTCCACCACTGGTGCCCTGTGCTTTTCAGAGATAAGAGCAGGTTCACCCTGATCACATGTGACAGACGTGAAACGGTCTGGAGAAGCCGTGGAGAACGTTATGCCGCCTGTAACATCGTTCAGCATGACCGTTTGGTGGTGGGTCAGTGATGGTATGGGGAGGCATATCCATGGAGGGACGCATAGACCTCTATTGGCTAGACAATGGCACCCTGACTGCCATTAGGTATCGGGATGAAATCCTTGGACCCATTGTCAGACCCTACACTGGTGCAGTGGGTCCTGGGTTCCTCCTGGTGTACTACAGTGCCCGGCTTCATGGTGAGAGTATGCAGGCAGTTCCTGGAGGATGAAGGGATTGACACTATTGAATGACCTCCACGCTTGCCTGACCTAAATCCAATAGAACACCTATTGGATATTATGGTTTGATCCATCCACCCATTGCACCTCAGACTGTCCAGGAGCTCGGTGATGCCCTGGTCCATATCTGGGAGGAAATACCCCAGGACACCATCCGTCGTCTCATTAGGAGCATGTCCAGACGTTGTCAGGCATGCATACAAGCATGTGAGGGCCATACAAACTACTGAGTACCATTTTAAGTTGATGCAATGAAATTTCAGCAAAATGGACTAGCCTGCTGCATAATTTTTTCACTTTGATTTCCGGGGTGTCTTTGTAGGTTGATCATTTTCATTTCCATCAAACGATGGGGCATCCTTAAGTTCCTAACACATTACCCAGTCCATATCAGTATGGATATCCAGCATGATATTTTTCCCCATTGAGATCTGTTGTGTCTTTTTGAGCAGTGTATAGTCCAAAGCTTTCAAAACAGTATGATGAAAGCTGCACGACAGACTACAAAATATGCAGCAATGTGTTTTTAACAATAATCTGATAATGTAAATATATAACATGGTGCAATGGTGCATGGATGGAATTTTTTATCAATTTTAAATCCATCCCAAAATATATTAGTAGTGTTTTTATGCTATATGTGCTTTGTGCCTTATTTTCACATATAGTGATTTGCCGCCAGTAGATAGCACACCTATCTTTGTGTCAGACAACAAAATGAAATTGATTGCTACCAAGGGCTGCTAGAAAATCAAGTCCCCTGTAAAATATGTTTTATTCCCGACTATTCCAGCCACATACCATTCCAATAAATTATTTTTATTTGTAACCTCAACCTACATGGTGTCTAGTAAAATCTATGCTGCTGCCACTTTATTTGTAACCTCAACCTACATGGTGTCTAGTAAAATCTATGCTGCTGCCACTTTCAATGGAACTATGTTTGAAACATTCATAGGTCTTTATAGAGATGTAAGCGGGTATTGTTCTGTTTTTATTATAGGATCTATTTATTTAAAAAAATTCTGTGTATATGTGTCAGTCATTCACACAAGCTCCACGATTATTCACTGTAATTCATCTAATAAGTTTATTTCCTATGATTGTCAGTGCCATCTAGTGGTGATAATGCAGTATTTTTCCTGAAATATATCAGGAAAAAATACTGCAATTTTGCCACTAGATGGTGCTGATAGTCCTAGGATATAAACCTATTAAGAAAATTCAACTGAAGACTCAAGGAACCTGTGCAAATTCTTTCTATACATAGACCCTTACATACAAGATGTCTAATAAGCATGTACAGCTGTCTTCATATACATAACTATCAATACAAGAAAAAAAAAAAAAAAAGAGTAACATTAGCATTCAAACAATTTCCTACTTTATAAATATCTATCATGTCTAACAATCTGCTTGCGTCTACAGAGCAAGACTTATTAAGTAAATTGGTAGATAAAAACACTCTGCTCACCTTCATAAAACCAGGTCTATTTCTTAGATTACTCAAGTCCATGTTCGTTTTTTCATTTGACCTGTCTGAATAGCAAGGAACAAATATTATACTTACTATTATTAATAGCATTGTGTTTCATTGTTTATCCTTGTTATGTTAGAAAATGCATCAGACTGAACTACAAAAAATGCAAATAAAGCATATTGACTTCACAAAACAAATTAAAATGATTACAATAAACAGCATAAAAATAATTCCTGAGGATAAAATTATATTACTGCAACATGGTATTTTATTTATCCATTCTACTTAGTGTACGTAAGAAAAAGCCATTTATATGATGATGCTGCGTATATACACACTCTGGTAAATCTTTTAAACCCTCAATATTCTTCAAAATGTAATATCATTATTTATAATATTTTCACCAATGAGAACACTAAGAAGCTTATTTATTAAATGTTGCAAACTGGTTATTTTGAAAACACACTGATGATATTATTTTTATTATTATTGTGTAACATTGAGAGCAATTATTTATTTTTTATTGTCTTCAGGACAGCTGTGTGTACAGCTGCCTGCTCAACAGAAGTCAATCTAACAACTGGTTTCTTTTTAAACGGGCACGCTGGAAGACCAGTATTCAATCAGCACCCGCAGCCAATGGCTGCATACGCTGATCAGTGTATTTTAGCAGGTGGGGAGTCCCCCTGTCAGAATACAATGGGGTTGATTTACTAAAACCAGAAAGTGCAAATATCTGGTGCATGTGTACATGGCAGGCAATCAACTTCTAACTTCAGAAAAACCTGAAAGCTAGTTTCTATGCAGAGCTGCACCAGAATTTGCAATGCTGCAACTCCAATGTTTCAGTGGGAGAGATCCCTGCATTAACATGGCTTGTCTTGAAGCAAGTATCTGTCAGGTTGAGTTAAACAAAAGAAAAAAAAAACTATTTGTGTACCCAGTTTAAGGCTGACCATAGATTACTCTTTTTTTTTTCTCTTCACTCAAGGGGCTGGACAAAAAAAAAAATGAATAGATTCCCCCATCCACACAAGCGAGGTAAATGGAGGAATTTTCCTCCATTTTGCCATTGTATTCTGACAGCGGGACTGTCAGACCAAAGATTTCTAACATTCCTGGTCAAAAAAAGGTTGATCATTAGATCGACCTCTGGCAAACAGGAACAGCCATAAACGGGTTAACATGGGACATGAGGTACATTCCTCCCAGGACCACAGACACTCATTCCCAACATTACAGGATTGAAAAACCAATGGTTTTCGCATCCTAGACAGGAAATTTGTGGTAGGTGCTAACACTGAGTCATTAGGCCAGGCTTCCAAGGGGCCCAAATGACCAACAGGTATGGCAATATAATGAATTAATATTTTACAAAGCTGCGCCTTTCTTAATACCTATTATCGTCCCTTGACTGCATAGGCTTTTTTTTCTGGAATAGGTGAATTTTTAAGATAAGGTACATTCACACAAGTAGTACATTACTCTCAGTCCATCGGAGTTGCATTGTAAAAAGCAACAGTTAAATCATAACCATGAAGCAGCACTGCAAAGCAGAAGAGAGAGCTAATGTATATGTATATAATAAGCAAATAAGATTGTCCTAAATATATATATATAATCGGTATACTGTACAATTACAAACTATACATAGAAAAAAATGTATTTTTTAAAAGCTGAGCACATACTGTATTAACAACATTATACAATGTACATCAATACAATCTCATTTACTTGTATATCTAAAAAAAAATATTTAGAAGACTATACTTTCCTTGTGACCACCCTAATTTCTATGGCCTCTTTAATTCTGCTCTTCATGTGCTGTGCTTGATGATTTCCAATGCCTCTTATCCTGAATTCAGTTAGCCCACTGAGGCTGATTTCCACCACATTAATTTGTCTCTGAAAATTCTACTTTAATAAGCTACCAAACATCAAACACAACCTAAGAGCAAAATTCAGTGAATTCACATATATTCTATTTATCTCTAATTCCTCGTATTGTCAATTTACACTTTCTGCAGTGATTATGAATTCTATGACCTAAGCACACGCATTTAAGCTAGAAAATGATCTTGCTACTTTAAAAAATGTTATCTGTTTATTCCTCCAACTATTCACATAAGACATGAATAATACTATAAACAGATTTGTCCAGGGTTAAAGAATACAAGCACGCCCTTTGATCAGAAGGTTAATACGCAGATTACAGGAATTGTAGTACCATGGATAAAATATCATTTTTTTCTCACAGGTCAATTATATATTTCAGCTTCTAGCTACACCGCTAAGTGGTTTATTTTACAAGGTCTCCAGAATCGGATTCTCCAGGCTCTAAGTTCAAAGTGTCCCTCTGGGTTAATTTTCCTGTTGTCTGACGAATATCCTTGCGGCAGAAAACTAATTTCCGCCATGGTCAAAGGGCCCTAGTTCAAATTCACTTTGGCAGTGTGTTCAGCAGAGCTCACAAACACAATCCTAGTCAGTGTTATGAATGTGCTATTTTTGTTAATTAAATCAATCTTACCATCCAGTTACAAAAGTGAACTCAATGTACTTTGCCTTTCAACCTGCATATCCTCGGTAGCATGTGCAGATGCATCAAAGTATGAGTCTAAGAGGTCTAAAGCAATTACGTATTCCACTTTATACTAGGTGGGGAGTGTTTATTTTCTATTTTGATTTCTTTTGCATGAATATTATGTTGTTTGTCTAAGTCCTCCCTTTCAGTCCTCCTTTACCCTGACAGTGCGCAAACCTAAAGTCTATGTAAACCCCAACAATGAGCTTCTCTTATCTGCTCCCTTTTAGTCTGTTAAATATACCACTGAAAGAGTTACAGGGGTTAGACAAAAAATGGAAGCACTGCACGATTTGCAGGTGTGAAAATGACATGTTTCGCGTTGAAAACGGAAGTGATATAATAAGCATTTCTGGTCATGGCCATCTTGAGTAAGGGCAGATGATTCATGTAGCAGTTACTTCCTGAAATCCATCTGACCTTAACTCAGGCATGCAGGCAGGAGGATGTGGTTAGCTGAGAAAACCCCTCCTTCTCTCATGAAGACTCCTGGGATGTATGACACCATTTGCCTAGGCATTAAAACCAGGAAGTGACCAAATAAATGTAAAAAAAAAAAGTTTAAAACAAGTAAATACAATATACTTTCCTATCTATTTACTAATGCTAGCAGCCTAAAAAATAAAAAAATAGTCAATGTTGATTGAGAGAGTGAAGTTCTACTTTACGCTTACAGAAAATAACAAGCACGCTGCATTTCTGTTAACATAAACAGTTATTTTCTGTACTTGCTGAAAATGTTCCTAGTTTGAATAAAAGGAAAATTAATGTAGCCACAACTGGTATGCTGCAATAAGTTGTTTGTTGGATCTAGCTCCGCCTTAAGGTTATGAAAACCTTCACCATGAACTTCTAATAATTTAGCCTGGCAAGTATACTATTGAAAGCATTGCATTACCACAGTTCAATATGTGCAAAAAATATCTGTTCATTCTGACAAAAAAATTTTTTTGTTCAAATTATAGGTAATGTTTCTGATCTAATGTTTTCATCCAATTGGGTTAGTTAAATATTACTCTTTGGGGCACCACAGTACCGTCTTATGGCAGCATACGACCTCATATACACAGAACATTTTAAAAATGCTCAGTTTTGGCAGAAAAACTGCCAGACACTTGTCAAAGTGTCTAACGATTTTACAAGCATTTAGGCACGTTTACAAGCATCAATCGCTTGGGTGTTAATTCAATTCATTGGCCAGAATAATAATTTATTCTGGCCATTGAAATGAATTAATGCTCAAGTGCTCAACACGCCTAATGTTAGCACACGTTTAGCCACGTTTAGACATGCATCAAGGGTTTTTTCTGCTAAAACGCTGTTGCTGCTCCTGATGACAATGGCTCTTGGTTTTTTTTTTTCCTGCTTGTAAACGCTACTGCTACTAAAAGTTTCTAAAAGTCTATATGTGCATGGACACATAGGATAACATAGAGGGCCGTTTAGAAGCAATATATAAAAAAATGCCTGATGCTCCTAAAAGTGGCTGCAAAAATGCTCTGTGTGCATGAAACCTAATAATGACTTGGACATTACAATATTTACTAGCATCCTAGCAATGACACTGTACATGTGACTGCAAGATCACAATATCTACTACTTGATTCTAACCCTGCACTCCATACCTTGTGTACTCCTGACCCAGAGCACAGTAGGTTTAGGTTTTATATAGTTATACCCCTGGAACCCACTCCTACTGTACAATTTGGACACCCCCACCATTTGGAATGGTTCACGTTAATATTAGCCCTACCCCTCCTTATCAAAGCATACACAGTTAAAAAGGTTTGGGAATCACTCCTCTAAGACAAAATATAGGAAGCAGGGAGGAGGAAAGAGGTTCTTCTAGCATAGAATATTTACCTATTCATCAAGACCTTGTATCTCATATCAAGGATAATTGTGCCGATTGAACATTTTTTTAATGGACAACCGAATTAGGTTGAGGATGTTATCATATTAAAAAGGAAGTTATGATGGTTTGGGGTTTATTTTATTTTAATTTGTAAAAAATATGCCATATTTTATACTTTACTAAAAAAAAAAGAAGCATAGAGAAAAAATTCAGTCATGGTCAATAGGAAAAAAAAAAAAAAACCATACAAAAAAAAAACCATACATCTATATACAAAACCAAATTCCTTTTAAACAGTAGTTTGCCAATGAATAACAGACAGTATGACATTTCAGATCAAGTCAGCACTCTTTGGAAATGTAAGGCACCTACATAGATGTAAAATGGCAATCCATTTTGCATAATATAGTCCTTAAGATTCCCAGTAGCAGGCAAGTGGTATTTTTGTTTTTCTTATGATTAGGGGTGTCAGAGAAAGAATTCATGAATGTAAGATGTAAAGGAGTATGGAATGGATCTAAAATTAGTTCTCCATTCTCAAACAGTGCTAAAATAGGGAATGAGTGGGAAATGGGGATGATAGTGGTGATAATTGTCTTGCACGTATCTGAATTAGTAGGTCTAGGGGTCTCGGAAAACATGTGCATGCCTTTATTTAATGAGGAAGTCAGTAGTTGCCTTATGGCAGTCGTCTGCTATGTTAACATATTTACCAACATATCTGACAATGATTATAACTAGAGTGGTTGTCTCCAGGCCATATTAAATGAACATTATTATTCAACTTCACAATTTATGTGCATCTACGGTACAGATTGAAGAGAGCTAAGAGATATTTAATTAGTTGCAACCTTGCTTTAGGAAATCTTATATTAGGTAGCCAATCCTCATAATAGACAGTAAATGAAAGACCTTGTAAAGAAATTCAAAAGCTATTACAGTACACTAATCAATAATGTACTAATAAAGCATTAGTAATGCAGCATCATGGGAATTAACATAATAATGTAAGCACAGTCAAGTTACCAAGTATTCCTTATCCCTTTTGTTAGCTTAAGGTAGTGAGTGGTGCAAACTGAAAGTTCTGTTTTATGCTTTTTTTTTAGGATTGCTTTTAATGGCATTATGAACATTTCTGTGGTCTTAAACTTTCACAGAAAGAAGCTTGTTGTGGTTGTTTGATCATTTGAATACATTTTTCATAGGTGCTATTTCTCTGAATAAGACTTAGGCATGAATTTATACAAAATTTGCATAGCAGTTTACCCAGTGAAAGTGCATATACAGTCATCTGTACAAATGGGGCATAAAACTCCTGTTATTAAGCTATCATCTGTGCTGATGAAATGTTTTTCAATGATTTAAAATGGAAAACTGCATTTGGTCAATAGATGGCACTAAGTATCACAGGAATTTCCTATGATGCCGAGCACCATCTAGCAACCACATATGCTCACATTTATTTGCCTGCCCAATTCACACAGAATGAATGTACATGTACTCTCAATGGGCAAATTGCAATGCAATATTTCATTCACCCCTTAAAGTATATCTAAACCCATGAACAAAAATATATCTTTTTTTTTGTTTTGGGGTTTAGATACATTTTAAATTACACATTCAGGACAAGGCTACAAGTGTACTTTAAGATACATTTAAAAAACTTAAAATAAACTTGATTACTTGTGCATAACTGTAACTTTTCAAAGATAGCCTAAGTATATAACTGACTGGCAAATAAAAGACAATAAACATCTGAGGGTGGTGGACCTGTTTTATGTGTCATTGTAGATTAACCAGTGTATTTCTCCATTTGTCATTATTTAAATAAAGAAAAACAATTGCATTTACATTTCTTTAAAACCATGATGCACAAAAAGCAAAAACCTACAAAAAAGAAGAAAATGTCCTTTGCAGGATTTTGAAATCCTATTTGACATTTCTTTTGCTATTAGTAAGCTTTTGGTAGTTGAGTTGAAAACTGGAGGCTGGCACATGTTCTTTCTCAACTTCACATTAACGTTGAAGGCTATACGTAATGAGTTCACTTTGGCATCTAAGTCATCATATTCTTTACGCAGATTTCAAATGTTTTGTAGCTGAGAATGTCATTTTTCTTGGAAGAAAAAGAAAATGCAGAGTGACATTGTCATTTCTCTACAAGTCGGAAAATAGAAAAATACTGAGAATCTTTTCATTCTGCCATGTTTTTTATCCTTATTGCAGAAACTCTAAAAATCAATTAATATTTCCCTAAGTATTACAATAGAATTGAACAAGGCGTGAATGGTTTATTTGAATTCAGGATATCCGTCTAACTAATTAAATTGTGAGAACTGATGAATATTACTGGGAAATGCCTGCTGGGTAGGCACTTGAGACGCATTATGATTTAAGCCACTCAACTGGTTCCCAGTTTTAAAAATGAAGATTTGTACAGATAAGCATCTACAGTGCATGTGCAGCCAATGTGACTGTAAATACTATATATGGATATTACAATATATTTTAGAATTAAAATATATAAGCCCCAATGGTCATTTAAACTACTGTCTATTGCTGCCAATAGGGTCAGCTGTAAAGTACTGTATATGTAAACCCTGACAAGTTTTTTTTTTTCTGTTTTCTCTGTTAAAATAGTTTTGTTATGTCTCTTCTATAAGTGAAAAAAAAATACCTGTTGATCCTGCCAGAAGTTCAATGCAATTGTGTATAATACCAAGTTGTCATACAGTAACAGTTTAAATCCACTGTAAGAACAAAAAAGATTTTTGGGGGGGCAAAACAAACCTGTAAAAACATATTTGATTTTCAAATTTGACTGTTTGTATTTACAAGTTAATATGATTACCAGCACACATCTGCCAAACTGGTTATAAGTCAATGGGAAAGCACATATCCTGCTTGCACAGAAAAGAAACTTACCACTTGATAGTAATGTATATAATAGGATGCAACATAAATGCAGTTTTTAATTTACCCAAATAACTATGTAGAACATTTTGCTTTATGTAGATTCTTTGCAGCATCTACTATTCGCTGTTTCACCAGAAAAGATTAACTTGATCATTTACCTGACTTTCTTCCAGATTTCCTAGAGGTATCGGCCAAGGATTCAGCAATTCCTGCCAATCGTAATGCAGCTTCACCCAGTATAACAGCATCTGTATCCATAATGCTGGAATGTTGCATCACTTCATAAATAAGACAAAGGATATAGATCCACTAGACGGGAAAAAGCACATACTTCATATATTAACATTTTGTCAAATAATAATATATGTGTATATGTGCAGTAATAAGGTCAACATCAGAGCAGCGTATGTGGCTTGAACAGAGGAATGGTGCAGCTGCTGTTTATTATTACCACTATTATTTTCTCTACATGCGTATGTTTTGATTTCTACAAATCCAAGTTCACAGCATCCAACTTCATAACCTTAAGCCCTCTCTGCCCCTTCCAAGATTAAGACCATGGCCTCATAAGTAAAGTGCTTACTGTCCAGGCAAAAACAAGGATACAGTACATCAACAGCAAACCCATTTTGTAAGTAGCAAACATGGAGATATGAAATGCCACAAACTAAACTCCTTTTCTCAGCACTTTCATGTTTGTCAAGAAAAAGATTGTATTTTGTTATGAAATTAGGTTTGTACACTGCCACAGTTGCTGGTATACTAATAAGTAATGTCACCAGCATATTAAGGATATTGGCCATGTTTAGGCAGAATTCAGGCAAACTGTATAATAACAGGATTTTTGTACTCACTGTTAAATCTTTTTCTTGGTGTTCATCAAGGGACACAGGATCGGTAGAACTGGAAATATTGGGCTAAACTTCAACCTTTAGGAGAAATTTGACACTGGCAAACCAAAAATGGCCTTTAGCCAACTAAGTATAACCCCTCCCATGAAGCTTCAGTTTTTTGGAAAGCTGTATTAGGAGAAGATCATAAACATTGAGGTGTAGGATCTGTGTCCATGTATGAACATCAAGAAAAGGATTTCATGATGAGTACAAAAGTCATTTTTTCCTAACTGTTCATCATGGGGCACAGGATCAGTAAAATGAGGAGCAATGGGATGTCCCAAAGCAGCACAGCAACACAGCAAACAATAGTTTAAAAAAAAAAAACCATAAGATACACCAAGGGTTGCCTACAGCTTAAAGAGCTGCCTGAAGAACCTTACATCCTAGCTTGCACCTACAGAGGTCTGATGTCTGTTTGATTGGAAGAGCTTGAACCTTATTCCTAAGTCTATAGGCTTGAAAAATGACATATCTTAGCCACCAAGAAATGGCGAAACAAGAAGCAGGGGCTTTCAGGAATGAAAAAAGGAAGTCAGACTGTCTGAAGTAGCTGAGAGGTAGACACAAACATCTCCAGCCATATCTGAGTGATGGAGGGATATCTCCTTAGGATGAACTAGAGCAGGACAGAGAGATAGTAGAACAAGGTGGAAAGCAAAGGTCACCTTAGGACAAAAGGGGACTCAGGGTCTCAACACAGCCTTATCCTTGTGAAGAGCAGATGAGGAAGCTTAGAAAAGGAAGAAACAGATCAAGTTTTACTGATCTCACAGAGCCAGCACTGCATCCACTGCTTCCACTAGAGGATCACTGTACTTGGAGACAAACCTGTCCAGTTTGTTGTGTAGTCTGGTGGCCAAGGGGTCTACATCCAACATTCCCCACCGAAGGCAGAGGTCCTGAAACACCTGTGGATGAACAGACCATTCTTGCGAGTCCAGGCACTGACGACTAAGGTAATTCGCTAGTCTATTGTCCACGCCTGGAATGTGGACAGTGGACAAGGCTGAATCGCAATGTTTCTGCCCAAGACACAGGGTTTTAGAGGATTTACTAAAAGGCAAGAAGACTGTGTATTTTGCAAGTGCAGTTGCACTCATTGTCCCCAGAGCTTCGTTAAGGTGGTGAAGCCTTGCTTTATAAAGAATACCTAACCAGGTGCAAGGAAAATAAAAAAACAGCATTTTAAGCTTGCACATGATCGAATAATGGAAATCGGCAGAGCTCCATCACATTTACTAAGCTTCAGGGACAGTAAATCCTACTGCACTTGCAAGTGCACAGTATGTTTGTCTTTAGTAAATCAACCCATAATCGTTCTGCTTTTCTTTCTGCAGCAATAGTTCTGGTTCCTACTTGATGACTGTTGTACACTACTACTGTGGCATTGCCTGACTGAATCAAGATGAGATATCCGATTGAGGAATCTGGGATTTAAGGGATAGACAAATGGCTTAGAAAATGTATGTTGAAAGGAAGATGTGTTTCTGTGGGTGTCCAGGATGCTTCCCCAGCCTGGCAGGCTGGCATCTATTATGAAGATCTTCCAGGATAGTGGAAGAAAAGGATTTACCTGATTCTAGGGCTGAGTTGGGGAGCCACCAGGTCTGAGGTACAACCTCCTAGGACACTAGCAAAAACATAAGTATCATAGGAGTGGAAGGAGTTATACTTGGCTGGCCAGCAACCCTTTTTTTTTTTTGCTAGTGTCCACTTCCTCCTAAAGAAAGAAGTATAACTATAACAATACTCCTGATTCTACTGATCCAGTGTCCCTTGATGAACAATTAGGAAACAAAGCTTACATTCAAACATATTTACACATTTTCCCACTAATCAATAATTCTGTAAGCTAGCCTTGTGACTTATGCTTATTTCCCATGCTGCACACCCATGGAAGCATCATACCTGTAATTCACCCCTCTGCTTTTAGCTTTTTCATTGGACAATATATCAGCATTATAAATTCTGTTCAATTGGCATGGAAAGATCCAGAAAGCAGTAAGGCTGAACCAGGTACTACAGTGTTCTTCCCAGCTGTGTAGTGTGGCAGTGATATATGAATGACAAGACTGATGGAACAAAATTACAAATTCTTTACCAGGTAAAGCAGTAAACACACAGTATATATTTTGTAATTTGTATTTATATATGTATAGCTAAGTGCTGTATAGCACTTAGCTGTCAGCCACCTGATTTTAAATTCTGAAAGGAAATTAAACACTCAGTAGGTGTTTCATTTTTAACACAATGCAGGATACTCTTCTCAGTAAGTCAGTGACCATCTGTTTGAATGTCATTCACTTTCAGGATAACATATTCTCATGCTTTTTTGTTCATGCTGCCAGAAGGCAGAACCTGTCTTATAAGGAGAATGCTAACACAACAATTTGAAAGATGTGGTTTTCCAAAAGAACATTTGGAGCTGATTTATGAAAACTGCAGCAAAAAAAAAAGAGGCCATTAATAGCGATCATAAAGAAAATAAGAATCATCACCAACACATCTTTGTATAGTAATTATCTTATCCTTTATTCACATACAGCAAGAGCCATCATAAGCTGACGTTTCAGGACCGAGCAGGATACTTTTCTCAAGGCAAAAGAAGATCCTGAGGGGTCCTGAAATGTCAGCTTGTGAAGTCTGTTGCTTTATGTGAATAAAGGACAATATTTTCACTATATCAAAGTGGGCTGGGGAAGATTCTTATTTTCTTGTGCATTTATGGTGATGCAGTCCACCAATTCACTACAGCACCCTGCAAGTACTGTGGGCAACCCTCTGAGGTGTGCAACAGACAAAATACAGCAATTCATAGCAAACAATCCATGTTAAGTGAAACATGGAGGAACTATCATTAGCAATCGTTGTGAGCAATAGCCCTTTGCTGCACTGTTTGTAAAGTAGCCGCAATGTGCTCATGGTATCTAGCAACCACAGAATTAACAGATGAAAGTGTCCCCTTTTAATCTCCCCACCCTGTCTTGTTGTGGTGCACAACAGCTCCATTATCCTGGCACAGAGGAGCCATTATCTTAGTATCACCTCAAGTCTTAATATGAAGCAAATTAACGACAGTGAAAACATAGTTTAAAGAATGTGGGAACTGGTCCCTTCACTCCAACACAGACTGGGATAGATCTGCATTTTTGTGGAAAGTCTTAGTAAAAATTTGTTTTACAATCAGGAGACAAGAAAAAGACCGGGTTTGATTTGTGACAAAAAAGGGGGGCTGCAATGTATTCTTATTAATTCAGCCTTACCTTGCTGTTCATTTCACACTTTTGTGTAAATTTGGATCCATCAACTGCACCAGTATGCATTCTCTGCACTCCCGTCTTACATTTTTGCCACAGAAATAAAATAACATCAATAACAATATCCCTGTCAGGCTGGACATCCTGGAACAAACGTATTTGTGTTGATTAGGAAAGAGCATTCACAAACCACATTTAATTACATATAAATAACAAAACCTATGGAATTACTTGTGCTTGACTTGTATTTACACATGTGACCTTTGGCTGAATTGATCACACCGCCTACGAAAGAAGCCAAAGGTTGACAGGGAATGTGCCTATCTGTGCTGGCGTTTACAATCAACACAATGTAAAGGATTAATAACGGTTTGAAACTGATGTCTTTCAGTGATCGAGGATTTTCTCATTTCTAAATGAACAACAGTCTTTTGGTTTACACAAAAGTCCAAAGGATTAAATTGGTCCTATCATTAAAATTCATATATAAGATGAATCAATACAATACAATACATGTGAGCATTTCAAAGTCATATTATGTTTAGTTACACATTTTGTGACATGAAAGCACTGCTGCTCCACAGCTCCCTATTGTGGCCTAAAGCCCAGGTAGCCAAAATCACATAGGGGTTGATTTACTAAAAATTGGAGGGTGAAAAATCTGGTGCAACTGTCTATGATAGCCAAACAGTTTTTTAACTTCAGCTTGTTCAATAAAGCTTTCGAGAAAAAAAAAACCTGAAAGCTGATTAGTTTTTATGCAGACCTACACAAGAGTACCTAAGAGTACACAATTGGGGGCACAAGTGTACACAATATTTTCACCCTCGCTTCGCAAGGGGAAAAATTATATATCATGAAACGCACAGTCTGAAATCAATAAGGGGACCTTTGCAAAGTAATAATGAATACTTGTCATGGCAAATCATGCCTTACCTATTGAGGACACGGACATTACTATGCAACGATTCAGTGTAGATACAATATACTGTATTTTGTGTTTGATAATATAGCAATGTGTTATTTGTAGACACATATGAAAATATGTGGCCTACTGTTGCTGTTTTTAATATGTTATTTTTAGGTGTAGTTTGCCAGTTGGAACAGAAAATAACTAAAATCTTATATTAGGCTAGCTCCCATTTATGGCTGTCACAATCAGATTATTAGGAGGCATCAATTAGAACAATGTAATCCAAACACTGAGTGATGAAGATATGGTTAAAGGTGAATAGACACAAAGGAAACCTACTGTTAGCAATCAGTTTTCTAAACTAATCAATATAAGCTGGGAGAGCTTCTCAAAGACAGTGAAGTGTCATACCAACTGATCTTTTGGCAGTTAACATAGAAGCACAAAGACTAGGCTGATTTCTTGCCACCACCCAACCCAACCCCATCCCATTCTACATAGATGTCAATTCCTCGGGTCCTCCGCTACAAACTCATTTACAAACATGTCCCAGAAATGCATCAATACCTTTATATAAAGGGAAATATCTCAATGTCAGAGGATCACTGACAATTTTAGACAGTGCAGTTAATGCTAGATTCATGCATTTTTGGGATTGTATCATATGCAGGTTAATCAAAAGGCTTAAAGAGCTTTTGGGGGGGTTTTTAATGGTTATGAACCATACAGATGTTGCCAATAAGAACAAGACAGGGACCTGGCACACTCTGCACAATGAGAAAATAATATGCCTTTGCTTCACGTCTCTCTGCAGAGAACACATTCTAAAAGTTCTTAATGAATTTGCTAGCTTAAGGTGGAACTAAACCCAACTTTTGTAAAACTGCAAGCAGGCCGCTTTTTATTGAAGAAGAGGCATGGGATGCTATGTTTCTTCTGCAATAACACACACCTACCTGCCTGCTCACTGTCTTGTATTGAATGTACACTGAGCAGCACATGTGCAGTTCAGCGCGGCCAGTCAAGAAGTTAAAAATCCATCACCCTGAAGTAGCTAGGAGGAAGATAACAGCAGCTAGTGAGGGATGTAACCGAAAGTGGAAGTGAGAATTTTTGGAGGTTTAGTTCCACTTTAAGAGCTAATGGGCATTTTTTAGATTATTTGTTTATGTCACATCTGTTTAGGTTAGGACTGGCAAACAGATAAATGCACAGTTGGACCAATAATATGTGCACTGTTTTACATGCCAATGGATTCGTAATTCTGTTGAGACAATTTACACTCCTCTGCAATGCTGTACAGCCAGGCAGATGAGAAGCTTATTATAGAATTCAGTAATGTAGCTTCCTTTGCTACTTCTCAACCTCCAGTATTCTCATTAGATGATGAACCAGCATCATCACCTCTGTCTAATTAGAAGAAAGGTCCACATACCAGTAAATATGAACTAGAGCGTGACAGAGCGATCTCTTTTTTGCTGTGCAGGGTGGCAAGAGAGTAAATCACAAGAGTGGCTAAAATACATTATTTATCCTTTGGCAAGAGGCAGTAAGCATTTTGACGTGAGAAGGAAAGTATTTCCTGATAAAATATTAAATAAAATACGATAAAATAAAATTTCCTGTTTAAAATACCACTGTTGACCTCCTTTAGAAAAAAGTCGGTTGCCTGCTATTACTTTGGGCTAAATATTTGTCAAAGACCTGAAGAAGTATGCAGATCACAAAGTGCTGGGAGAATCCTAAAGCCAGTAGGTTAATACAGCATTCAGGCAACTAGAATATGTACAGTAGGAGTGCAGAAATGGCAGACCCTATATTACTCTTAGTCATGGTTTCCTTTAAGTAAGCACAGTTAGCTTTTTAGTATGTCATACTGTCTTCTCTAGTTCTTGAAGTAGCATAACAATTTTACATTGTGATATCGTTCACCTAAGTAAACTAACTTGTTTTAACTACATACACAAATGCTGATTGTAACTGTATTCCTCTGTGTACTTTTTTCCATTTTAAATTTAAGGGTTTTTTTTTATTCTTTTTGTACCTTTGATTCAAAAATATACAGAGAAAAAAATGATGACCAGTGCAAGCAGCCTAACATTTCAAAAGATGTTTTAATAAAAACAAATATATAAATTTATTTCCTAGTAAACTGGACATTTAAAACTTTTCCTAATCCTTGGTTTATCTTTGAAAAAAAAAAAATGCAGGTTTTTTTTTTTTTCTATCTTGAAATGATGACAAGAGCCCAAGCAAGCCCTGTGTTTCCTCACAAAAAGAGAAGGAGAGCAATCCCCATGTACAGTCCCTGTGATTGATTTATATGCAGACCTAGACAAAACCTGTCAAGTTTCACTGATTTCTTGTCAGTTTCACTGACTGTTTGCAGTGACGCATACTTTAATGGATTATCTATCACTCACAGCATTCAATAATTTCTCATTTAAATTTCAGATTCTTTTGTGAAAAATAAAATGGATGCCTATTTTTATTTAAAGCTCTTCTGTGTATCAAAATGTGGCTGCAGATATTATTATAGTTGTTCCCAAACAAAAAAAACTGCAAAAAGAAAGTTGGAAGATTAATTTGAATCAATTTAATTGTTCTTCTCTTTAAAGACAGCAAACATGCTAAAGCCCATGTAATCCTGCTCTTCCGAAGGTTCTACTACTGCTTTTTACTTGACTCTCTTCGGAATGGATAACAATTTGTATTTTTTTCTGAAGCACAGCAGCCATCAATAGGCCATCATTACTGGAAGAGAAAGCCCAGTGATTGCATTTTTCATTGATATCTATTTTTTCTCCTTAATCAGTAATGAACATTTATAAGAATTCGGATCTTCAATCTTAAAAAAAAAGTCTGGACCTTTACTCACCTGGGTGGAGGCAGCATCAATCCAATGCTGCAATTGTTCCCTGCCGGCTCTGCAGTGAGAACTGAGTGATCAAACACTGCCAATCGCTTAGTTCTCCGCTCTGAGCAAAGAACCATGACGGTCAGTCTCCGGCTCTTTACTCTGCCTCTCCAGTGCTCAGTGGGTCAGATCGGATTGCTGGGTGGATGAAAAGGGGTCCAAGGAGTGCAGAATCAACTGCAATCCCGTGACCTACAGGAGAAGTGTAGTCAAAATAGCTATACTTCTCCTTTAAGTTGATAAAAATGTGAATCCTAAAGCAGCCCATAGATTACTCAGTTTTCTTTCCTTCAATCATGGGTGGAAGGAAAGAAAATCACTTGATTCCCCCATCAACACACAGTCAGTGGTGAATGCCTCCCGCAGTGCTATAGTGTTCTGCTGGGGGTTTGGGTGGGTTACAGGATTGCCTTTCCAGGGGCAGAACACAATGGTTAGATGCTAGCGGCTATAGCTGTTGCCAGTAATTGAAAAAATCCTACAGGCTGGTTGATCGATGAAACGACTTGGGTACAATCAGCCTGCCCATACACAGTTCGCATCTCTGTTGGTCCCTGCTGAACCGGCCAAACTATGTAGATAATCAAAAAATAAACAAACTAGAGGTAAAGCTGAACTAATAGAACAATATAAGAGTGGAGACACAACTTATAAAAGAAGTTTACTACACAACATTATTCCTCATTTCCATCTTGCGTCTAGCAATACAAAAAAGTAGGTGAAACCAGGCTGTCATAGGCCACATGTCAGACACCTCTATTTGTTTTGTGACAGTCATGAACCACTGCTTCAACAAGGCAGCAGATCTATGTCACTTGCCAAGAGGAGAAGTTATTGATGAAGGTGAGGACTTAATGACTTTTGAAAAAAAAATAAAAAATTTGCATATCAATAAAAGTGCCATTGAGTCTGCATAGACAGAACATTTTGAGTAAAGAGTTTGTCTGAAACAGCAGAAGTGGATTATGATAGCACTATTTCTGCATGATCAGGGAATGGAAGGGTTCACTCAGTACTCTATTCCTAACTATTGCCTTAACTTTGACAATTAATTAGTAATAGAGTAGAATGAAATTATTAATAAAACAGTATTGAATCTAGGGGAAGATGCACTCTACAATTGAAGCCAAACTGTAACGGATCACTACCTGTTTTATTGGTATTGTAACTTCCTGGTGAACACTGAAACTGAATCATATTTATGTCCTATTTTCCCTAAGGCTAACACAGAGTAATACTGACCTGTAAAGAGTTACAAACGCA